TGCAGTAGGACCCGCTTCAGGGTGCAGGGAGAGTTTCTGCCATCCTCTGCTGCTGTTCCCCTCCAGCTGCCGCTCTGTGGGCAGCGTGGCCTTGCTCGGATGTTGCAAAAGGAGAGGATTTTTTCACTTCCCTGGTGTTAGGTTGGCCCTCGGGGTGGGTGTAAGAAAGTGGCAGATATGCTGCTTTTTGGACTGTAGAGGAAGGTAAAGGGACATGATGGGAGGCGCTACTGCGGGGGACCATGGGATCTGCTGGCAGGTGTTAAGGACACCAGTGCAGCCTTGGCTCTGCTGGGTGCCACAGAAGAAGTGATGCCCACAAGGTGGGTGAGCAGTGGAGTGCAGCAGTGTGCCTCAGACAGCACAGGAGAGGTGGGGTGACAGGAGACCAGGGTGTCTGTAGCTATGCAAGGAGGAAGAGAGATCTGGGAGATGAAGAACTGAGCAGAGCAAGACACGATGATGGAAGTGCTGGGGGGGGGCGAAGTTTTGGCTCCTGCTGCCAAAACCCCTCTCAACTCATATGGCATTGGGGCTCATGGGATGCCTGGCTCTGTGGCAGGGCTGAGTGGCATGTGCTGCCTGTGGCTTTTATTCCTGAAGCTGTCATGGAGATGGGTAAGAAAAGCCAGGATCCTTCAGGCTGTGCGTGGGCGAAGCCCTGCAGCACACAGAAGATGAAGATTGTGGTGAGACTCTTGACATCTTCCCCTGCCTTTGCTCCCTGCTTTGATCCCCTGGAGACCCCCATGGATGGGAGTTAAAGGAGGATTTTGTGACTCGGGCTCTGAGTGGGATGTGCTGAGCTAAGACATCATGCTGCTGCTCCAAGCTCTGTTTGTCCCAGGTTTGATTGTTGGGAGCTGCTGCTAACTGTGGGTTGGTTTGCTTTGTCTTTCCAAGACACAGCTGAGGAGCCATTTCATGGCAGCTGTTTCATGCTTGCTTTCATAGCCTCTGTGGGAAGCTGGCTGCTAGGGCCCCAGCTACGTTGTGAAGAGCTATTCCTCTGGGTCAGCGCCAGTGGAAGATCTTGTTGGAAACCTCGTGCAGTACTGGCAGTGCTTTTGAACCTGGGGGTTCCAGCTCTGCTCTTAACCACCTGGGAAGGGAACTCCCAGCAGTCAAATTCACAGGAGCACATCTCAATGCACAGTTGGCCCCAGGTGTCCCAGACTTGTGCCCAAGGGGCTGGATGGCTTCTCAGAATATCCTGAAACTCCTGGAGCTGTGAAACAGGTGCCAAAATGCTACTTTGCTGTCTCTGCTGGTTGTCATTCCTGATAAATTGTTTTTGGAGCAGAAGGGTGTAATGGTTTTGAAAAACAAACCAGTGAGAGACTCCAAGTCAGAAATACAATTTAATAGGAAAAAATAAAATAAATGCAATAATACAAAGGAAAACCACAGACAGAGTCAGAATACAACCTGATACTCTGTAGTTAGGGTGGTGGTAGCAGTCCAGATGAAGCAGTGGTCTGGTAGAAAAGATCTGGTAGCTCTTGTCCTCTGGAAATCCAGTGGGTAAGGCCCCCTGTGCTGTACTGAACCCCAGTTTATATCCAGGTGGGAGCACTTGGCTCCTCCCCTTGGGTGGAGCATCTCACAATGGGTTGATATCAGTCTATGAGTCATGCAGTGGGTCCTTGATGGCCCATTAAACAGAAATAGCTCCTGGGGGGAGCTCTGTATGAGTCATGGGGTGAGGCATGGATGGGCCCATGAACAGGGAGGACTCCCCAAGCTGGGTGGGAAGGTGTTAACATCTCCCTGGACCTCTTTCCTTATCTGTTATAGCCTGGGGTGTGAGGTCTGTCCTGGGCAGCTGCTACCCATGATTTTGTTAACAGCCCATGAGCAGGGACACAGAGGGTATAGAATACACAGTTTTTGGTTCTACCCATATAAGGATAAACCACTCCCAGCCCCTGTAACCATGACAATGGGTTTCTTCCACCTTGGCTCTACTGCAATGGAGTGCAGCAAGGTTGAACCCTCCCAGCACTGCACTGTGTTGAGCAACTCGGGGCTGAACCTCTGTCGGTGCTGCCCTGACCTGTCTCTGGGCAGGAGGACACGTGTGTCCAGCAGCAATTTGCGGGGGTGTTGTAAGCCTGGTTTGCAAAGCCAAATGTCAGTGAAAGCACCTGCAGGGCTCCCATCTGTGAAGCAGGCAGGGAGAGGGTCTCTGCCTGTTTCCACAGGTACTGGAGGCAGAAGCTGTTTATAAAGTTCTCCAAGTACATCTGAGTTTCCTAGGGGATCACACCTTGCTCAGCAAGCCGAGTGCTCGGGTTTGGATGCGCTGTTGAGTCCTGTGTTGTGCCATCACAGGTTGTTTGTGTAGTGTTGTTGTTTTTTTCTGTGAGGTTGAAGGGCTTTTCCACTCCCCTTTTTGTTTTTCAGGACATACAAGAGAAGGAAACCATCACCCCTGAAAGAGCAGAAGAGGCAAAACTGAAGGCCAAATACCCTAATTTAGGCCAGAAGCCAGGAGGCTCTGACTTTCTCATGAAGAGACTGCAGAAAGGGGTATTTATTTCTCAGCTGCAGCTCGTCTGCATCCTCTCTTCCCTCAGTGGCACAGACAGCCAAGCTCCAGCCAGGCTAGAGGAATTGCAACAAAAAGTCTGTCGAACCCATGGGCCAGGCTCCTTTTGGTGCCTGTGCTGGAGATGGCACCCAGTGGCCACAAGCCCAAAGCAGGGAGGGCTGTTGTGGTCAAGCAAGAAGGGCTTGTGCCTGTTCAGAACGCCAAAGTTGCTGCCTCTCCAGTGGTTTTGCTCTGTGTGTGTCTCACCCTGTCCTTCACACCCTGGCCTACAGCCTGGGGTCTGGAGCTGAAGAAAGTGCACAAATGCCTTCCCCATTCCTGCGCCTGCGCTGCCTGGGGTTCACTGGGCCACTGAGATGCTGCAGGCTTGAGTCTTTTGTCCCTGATCTCTGCTTTGCCTTGGTTCTGGGCTGGTCCAAAGAGCACTAAGAATGCCAGTGAGTCAGTTGGCTGTGTCTCTGTTGCTGACGCCAGTGTAAAAAGCCAACCCTTTGACTGTGCATGCCCTCACTGCTGATGTGATCACCATGATTGTTGTTTTAGGCACCAGCTCCCAAAGCAAGTGTGGAAAGGAGTCTTGTTCAGTGGCTTGGTGCTGAAGTGGGATGGGGCTTTTTGTCAGGACTGGGCTCCTTGGGACCTGGTGGCACATCGGGGTGGAACTGAGCTCTTCAGAGCTCCTTGTGCCCAGCAGAGCCATGTCTGTGGCACTGACACGAGCTCTGCTTCGGTGTTCAGCATGTCCTTCACCACTGCAAGGGCTGAGGCAGCAGCGTGAGGTAGCACAGAGTCCCATAGTGTTGTGTGTGATAAGGGAGTGAAAATGCCCTTTGAGCTCCAGGTTGGTGGTGGTGCTGTGTACCAGGGAAGTCTCCTCAGGCCACATCTCCACAGACATTTCCCAGCATCTTTTAGGCTGTTGGGAGCCTGGACAGCACAGCGAAGCCCTTGGCACTGGCCTGGCTGTGCACTGGAGGGGGAAAGTCCTGCTTCTGTTACACTGGCTCATCTGTTCACCAAGCTGGAATGAACTCTACCAGCAAGCGTCCCCCAGCATTGCCACTGCAGCTGAGCCTCCGGCTGGAGGTGACCGCTGACGTGGCTGTGCCTGCGTTCAGCTGTCTGCGGGTCTCTGGCCTGGGATTGAATCCCTGTCTCACTGAGTGTAGTGTGAGGGCAGAGCAGGACAAACCTGGTCTCCACCCTGCAAATGCCACACCAAGCAGTGAAAGTTCACAGGCTGTAAAGGCACAGACGTGGGTCAGAGAAAATGCACCCTGGTGTCTTGACTCAAGACAGGTGGCTGCCAAGGTGCAAAGGGCAGGTCTGAGTCACTCTGGGGTTTGCAGGTGGGTGCTAAAGGCCTTTTAAATTGGGCCACGCTCCCTGGCTTGGATTTTCAACTTGCATGATGTTTTTGTGACCTGGTTTTTGAGCAACCCCAGGAGGTGGTTAAGGGATCACATTTGTGGCCTGGTGTCTGTATCTATCCTGTGTCTGTAGACCAAAGTAACCCAAACTCCTCTCCCTCTTCCAGCAAAAATACTTTGATTCTGGTGACTACAACATGGCCAAGGCAAAGATGAAGAACAAGCAGCTGCCAAGTGCGGGGCCCGACAAGAACCTGGTGACAGGAGATCACATCCCCACGCCGCAAGACCTCCCGCAGAGAAAATCCTCCCTTGTAACCAGCAAGCTGGCAGGGTAGTCTGCACTCATAGGCTGGGATTTTTCCTATGTCTTTTTTCTTTTGGCTAAATGGATTGAACTTCCCTGTACAGTAGGGACAGGAGCACCAGAATCCACATAGTTATTTGAGCATTTACACTGAACACACAACAAAACCGAGAAGGCGCGTGAGAGGTGTCGGTAGCCTGGGAAGCACAGGCAGATTGGATTGGGCCATTCCTTTTAGCAAGTTGATTTGCTGCCTTACTTTTGATGTTGTTTGAAACCATCCTTGCCTGCAGAGCCAGTGAAGTGCTGTCTCCTCGCTGGGAGAGTCAAGCGGCCACGGGGGAAGCAGGAAAGTGCACAGAGAAGTCACACGCTTGTTTGCTTGGCACCAAGTAGGAGGGGAGTGCTCAGAGCTGTGGTGTGTGAATGCCTTTCAGGCATTGGGTGTCTGCAGAAGAAGAACCGGCTTGGCAAAAGGTGTGATACATGATCTGGAAGTTTAGTTAGGTCTGTGTGTTACAGCTTCAAAGTGAAGGAATTGGCTGATGTGTGAAAAGTTGCGTGGTTGTGCTGCTGTGCCGAGCTGCATGGGATCTGTCCCCTGCTTGTACAAAGCAGCTGAGCTCCCAGGACAGGAAAACGCTGTGTGAGAGGGGCTGGCCAGTGTTTGCAGTGGTCCTCGTGCCCCGGAGCTGCGGTGAGGCATTTGCTGTTGCGGAGGTGGAGCCCCCCCTCACTGTATCTGTGTGTGGCCGTGATGGGAAAGGTGCAGCATGAGGACTGCAGCTGCCCCAGAGGCTTTGGGAGAAGTTTCATTCTCCCTGGTCTATTCTGGCCAGCAAGGCTGTCTGCCTTGGCAAGGGTGAGAGGTGGCTTCTCTCTCATCTGCTGAGTAGGCAGCAGAGGGTGGTGAGCTGAACCCCACCAGCAGCAGGGTGCTTGGGACGCAGGCAGAGCCCTGTCTGGTTGCGTGGAGGCCCTGCCTGATGTCCACACTTTGGTACTTGCGAAGTGGGGACTATCAGCAGCTGGGGAGACAGACGTGAGTTGCTGGAGCTGATCTCTCGAGGGAGAGTGATGGGACTGGGAATAACCACTCTGGAAGGAGAAAAAAAATACCAGAGACAGCATGGAGATTAGGAAGAAAGGAGCATAGAGGCCAACCTGTGTTGACTGTCAGGCACCCCGTTGGATTTCTTTCTCCTTTTCCTTTGTTCCAGGCCTGGGGGGGGAAAGCAAAACAGAAAACGGAAAAAAAACCAAACCAAACCACAACCAAAACCAAAACCAGCCCAAAACAAACCCCACAAAAAAAACCCAGCCCAAAACAGGTTGGTGGGACATCTGCAGCCTGCAGAATGACGTGTCTGCTTCTTATGCAGTGGAGATGAAATGACCTCCCATCCAGTGCAGCAGAAGGTCTGGGGTGTGCCTGTGCTGGGGCAGCATTAAGCCTGCCCAGTTTGGGTCTGGTTTTGAAGGCGTATGGGCAAAAGGAGGTTGAGTGGACATCTGGGGTGCTTTGTGGGTGGGGTATTTTTATTTTTTTTTTTAAGTAATAATGAGTTCCCATCAGGTCAGGAGAAAACAAGGCAGAGAGGCAACAAGCAATGCTCTGCAAGGGCCCTGCTTTCCTTATATGTGTTGTTGGCTGCCTGACTCGGACTTTGCTGAGAACCTGTCTCACTCCTTGTGCTTTCCTGCCGCTGGCTGGAGCGAGGAGCGTGGTGTTGCTTCCTGGGAGTGTTTGCCATAGGTGTGCTCAGATGCTTGCATCTGCCTTTGAGTGGTTTTGAACAAGCCAGCTGTGGCTGTGCTTGCCAGGGCACCGTGAACAAGAGGCGTCATTGCTGGCGACGGAACTGCACAGGATGGATTTCTTTTCGGCAAGGAGCGTAGTGGGGTCAGGGGTTGCCCACTCATAACCATGGGTCTATGCTTCAGTCTCTGGTGCTTTTCCAGACCCTGCGTGACCTGGCCGGGGCAATGCTGGCAGTGGCTGTGTGATAATCTTGGGTGTTCTGCTGTCTGTCCCAGCCATGTTGTAAATAGGTATGAATCATATATATTAAAAAAATATAATTTTTTTACATGCTTATCTCTCTTTTAGAGTGCTGTGTTGCTTGCTTTGTTTTTTTTGGACTTTTTTTTAGGGAAAATACAGTGAAGAATGCGAAGGAGGGTTGCAGGTTGCGGGCGGCCCCTGTGCTGAGGGGGTGGGTGGAGGGAGGGGACTGCTCTCAAACCACATCTTTCCCTTCTTTTCTGGAAACATCAGCACCGGTTGTGCAGAAGGCAGAAAGGAGGAAATGACCCTGACGACACAGGTTGAGAACTGTCAAGAGTAATTCCTTACAAGGGTAGTAGCCCTGGAGCCAGGTTATTCCCACTCCTGCCCCAAGAGACAGGCAGGCAGTGTGGGGGTGATGACACTGCCTGCCCCACTGCTTGTAGGAAGGGGTGTAGTGTGGTGGGAACTGCTCTGCTTCAGAGATGAATTCACATTCTCATCCTCTGCTCCTCATAAAATATCACCACGAGGATGAAACTGGTAGCAGTGGGAAGTTTGATGTCCCCAGGGCTGAGCCTGCAGGAAGGAAGGCATTTGGCACCAACTCTCAGGGCTGATAGCCGTGGGGTGGGATGTGGCACAGGGGAAGGGCTGGGGCTCACCGAGCCTGGGTGGGGTTTCACTGAGGCAGGGAAGGCAGGTGTGGCCATGTTTCTGCAGCCCAGGGATGGCCCACGGTGGGAGAGGGCCTGTGGAGTCCCTGGCAGGCCTCAGTGGAATTACTCGAAGTCCCTGCACACCCTTCGTCCTTCAGGGTTTGTTTCAGCTCCTGCACTGTCCCTCCCCGCGGCCCCCCATGTGTGAGCAGCATGACACCCTTCTCTGTGGGAGGTGCAGAGGCTATGATGTTTGTATGAGGGCAGTAGCCACCTTGGCTCACAGCTGAGACTCAGAGGGTAGCACAGAGGGTGGTGTTTTATCTTCTTGCCTTCACAACAAATTTTCTCCCTCCCCTACCCATGCTGTGGGGCAGGGGCTCCTGGTGTCAGGGAGTCGGGGCTGCCCCACCGTGACATTCTCCTGTGCTGCCCTGCTGTGGCTCTATTTGTCTTCAGGCTGGCTGCCAGTGGAGACATTTAACTCTGGGATTTTCAGCATTGACATCACAGCTTCCCTTCCTAGAATTTAACAGCCCAGCTGATGACATCACCAGGGTGGGCTCTTGTTCACATGGACCCGCTGACTGTCCCTGGGGCTGTCTCTAGTCTCTGTGCTGCATCTTCCCCCAGTTGGCCACTTTACAGCCCCTCAAGCCCACCACTCAAGCCCACCCCACAGCAGGGGCCAGGGCTGGGCGTTTGCACAGGGACGTGCTGTTCCAGCCTCGTGCCAAGTATGTGTCAGTGTGTGTTTGTGCTTTAAAGCCTGGCACTACTGGGGAAATATGTGCCGGGCGCTGCCCTAAACTGCTGGAGCAAGCTGAGCTTGCCTCTGTTATTGCTCCCAGTGCCAAGAATTCCCTTCCCGACAACAATGCATTCCTTGGGGGCCATGGGAAGGATTTTGAGGGAGACTGATTTTTGCTGGGTTGCACTCTCACCCTGGTTTGTGGGGGTGGCAACTGGGAAAGGAGCTGCTAAGGGACTGAAGGGGCACCTGCTGAGGGTGCATGTCCCTGGTTCTTGCAAGATCTGGGGCAGGAGCACTTTGGGGCTGCTGCGCCTGGGCTATGCCCTGTGTTTACTGCAGCTTCCTCCTTTGCTCTTCCTGCCAATGTGTGGTGATGCTCAGGACAGTGACAGACTTGGGTCTGTGGCATTTTTCAGTCCCCAGAAATGCTGGTCAGAGAGGGGCTTCTTCTTCACAGATGCAGGTCCCTACAACCTCGCCACCTCCCTAGAGCAGAAAGACCCATTTGAGGAGCTGTGCTTACGTTTTTCTTTCTGCTTACATGGTTCCCTCCATGTTCCCAAAACCCAAAGCACAAAATGACCTGCCCTCAAGGCCCTGCAGAGTTTCCTGGGTGCCTTTCTTAGGGCTGTTTGGGGTGCAGCAGTGAGCCCACCTGCCCACACCATGAGGAGAAACCAGCTACCCCATCTTGTTGTGGCCCTGGCCCAGCCTGTTGCTGTCATCATGCCTCAGTTTGGTAATGCTGTCGCAACTTGGCCAGGTGATGTGGGGCTGATATCAGCTGATGTCACTTTTGGGTGACTTGGGGCTGATGTTGCCTTTGCAGGTGGGGGCCTGGGCTCTGCTTCCTGGGTAGGCATGAAAAGGCCCTGGGGCTGGAGTGGGTTGAGCTGCACCAATGCAGGTAGAAATCCCCCCCTGTGGGCAAGCTCTGCAGGACAGCAGCCACCTTTGCCCCTATGCTTCCCTTCCATCCTAGCCTGTCCAGTGAGATGGAGCAGAGTACCATCCCTGAGACACAGCCCTGGCAAGGGGTCTGGCAAAGGGGCACTTGGGAGACCTCCTTTCCTTCCTCACCACCCTGCTGCAAAGCTGTGGCTTTGGCCTTGCCGGGGAGCGTCTGATCCACCTACATCAGCAGAGATTCCCATGGCTTCTCCAGCCAAGTTTTGCCCAAACTGGGGCATGTTTCAAGGGTGTCAGGCTCAGCCTCAGAGGATGAAGGACAGGCCTGTGGCCAGGAAGACCAGAACTGAGAGCCAGTGCCCTAAAGATGCTGAGACTGGCTAAAGTGCCCCCAGGGGACCCTGGGTGATGATGCAGCAGGTCTTGCCCCCTGGGGCACCAACCAGCCCTTTCACAAACCACCCCCAGCTGGATCCTGCCTCAGCCCCGAGGGCACAGGCTGCCTGATGTGACTCCGCACCCCTCGTGGAGTTGGTGTATGGATGCAAGGAGGTTTCAAGTAATGGGAGAGAGGAGAGGCAACTCACTGATGACTGGGAGAAATGACAAAGTTTCTCATGAACATCCAGCTAAATGAGATGAAGTTGGAGAAGGCCTTAACCAGACAGATCCAGGTAAAATGCCAAGCAGGTGGGAAGTGA